GCTAAATCCCCAGCCCCTATTTTATACAATTCTTATAGGAGGTTTTAGTTGTAGTTGGGGTCTCTCATAAACCTGAGCAGACTGGTGAATAGATTGAGTTCTGGAGACCCAAGAGGAAATGGAAATTTACTTAATATAGAGATTAATTCAGTAAGAATATGATCCATTCAGCATCACAGTCTGCAAATATTTCCAGGAAAGGATGTCTTAAACCTTCATCACCTCAGAAAAAAGAAAAACTGTCATTTCCATGAGGTTCTGGATTATGTCAACATAAAGCCACACACACATGCCATCCATTGTTATGCAGCTCTGTCTTAGTCATTTTCTGTAGCTAATAACACAACATCACAGGCTAAGTTATACAGGAGAGAGGTTTATAGTTCTGGTCCAAGATCAAAGTTCCCCATCTGGTGATGTCCTTGCTGATGGCATACGGTATCACATGGTGAGAGGCAGCTGTGTAACAGAACTAGGCAAACTGGTTTTTGCAGCAGACTTTCTTTTCCGATACCCATTCATCCATGAATTAAATGCATGAACTAGCTACTCATGAGGATGTATTAAAAGTTACACCTTTTAATATCTCATAGTGGGAATTAAACTTTAGCATGAATTTTGGAAGAGACAAATCCTTCCAAGGCATAGCATCCTCCCCTATGCTTATGGTTCCTATATTTGAGTTATTCTATCTGCAGATGCTCATCAATTACTTTGTTGTTAGGATTTTGGTTTGCTCACCGGGTCCTACCTTAGTCTCCCGAGGAGCTGGGACTCCAGGCATGCACCATCCTACCCAGCTTCTGACTTACTTCTTGAGAGCCCACAATGGCCTGAACATTAAATAAATAGCAATGGGTTGATTCGGATATATTCCAGTGACAATCTTTTTAATTTGATAGTCAAGATATATATATGGAGTAAAGATAACAGTTTCAGAAACAGTCTTGTGCTGGTATCGTCTATGTATGAAGGAAGACAATTGCTTATCTCTGGCAGCCAGGAGAAGGCTGAATCAAGAGTGAATTTTTATCTTTCTTCTGTCTGTATCATTTAAAACACATTTTTGAGTACTTGCTATGAACTAGATTTTGAAGGACATAAAGATAAATAAAACCTTATCCCTGTCCTCAAAGAACATGTCAGGTAGCCAGGAAAAGTCAGTTAAATAAGTAGTTAAAATGTCACATGATAAAGGTTTATAAAAGTAACATAGACTGAAGCTATTAAGTCTTTTTATACATCTGGGAAAATATTACAGTTTTATTGAAAGTAGAGATGTTTAAAATGAGCCCTGTAAGATGAGGAGGGGGAAATAATGGGATGCATTTAGGGAATCCTAAATATAGATTGGGTAATTCCAAGCAATGAGGTTTTAATAAGAGCAGGAGCTAGAGAGTGAAAAAGAGAGACAGTGTGTGTGTGTTCCAGTGGTAAGAGTGAGGAAGTGAAGCAGATACTGAAGCTTGGAAAAGAAGTACAAGGCCCTTAGAAACCATACTAAAAATCTGACCTTTGGATGAAAAAAAGCATGAAATTGCAAAATCAAAGTCATATCAAAAGATCCCTGAGAAGCAATGTGGAGAATGACTTAAAAGACAGGGAGTTCCGAACTAAAGTATTGGGGAAGGTGGAAGGTGAGGTCCAACTGACTTGATTTGGAGATTAGCCGTAGTTAAGGGACATTCATGCAGTTGAGGACGGAGTGTTAGTCTGACCTCCAGGTCATAGCCACAAATGCCTAGGAAGATAGATGGTAATCAGAGCATTATTAGAGCAACAAATAAAGAAAGAGGAGTGGGGGACATGTGAGTAAAGATACACTGTTCAGAACAGTGTGAAGATGAAATTTCTATTCCAGCAGATTGTGGGTCTTCTTTCCGAGGTTTAGACTCCTCTCGCTGATTCCTATATTACACTAGTTTGAGTCCCTTTTAATCTGTCCAAAAGTACATCATTTCATTTCTGGTTTTAGCTGCCTTAGTTATAGGTATACCTAAGTTCTAATTGTTTCAGGTACTGAAATCCACTAAAGAAAACAAATGTTTATTTTCTTTGAAGATGAAAGGGGGGATCCAAAGTGGTTGGGGACACGTAGGGAGAGCACACAGGAGACAACTGGAAAGATAAGGAGCCTTTGAAGACCATTTCTATTTAGAGAACAACAAAGTGGAGGCTATGAATGGGGAGAAAACTAGGGGACACCAGACGCCATATATATCATGATATTTGAAGAGATAGCTAATCATTGTAATAATGAAAGCACAATGCCACATTTGTCATGAATGTCCCATGTAGCTGCTTGCTGAGGAGCAGCTTGACATGGTACAGAGCAGGCAATAATTCATATTTAATTAGTTAATAATTAATGGTGCAAAAATAAGTTAAAGGTCTGTCCTAACCCTACATGACTGGTGGTGACAGCTGGGGCTGTTTTAAGGAAATATTAATATTTAAGTTGATGGCTAGAGCTGAAGCTAGCAAACAGGCTGTAAAATTCTGGCACCTCAAAGCAAGACAACATGGAAGCTGAAGACCTGACTTGTGCAAGTGCCTTCTAGTTCAGTAGTCTACTTAGCATATCAAATTCTTCAACCTTGACCCCCACCACTTCCTGTAGCCCACCAGTACATCCTCCAATCAAGCTGGGCACCCAATAAAGGCCAAGGACTATACTGTCATTGGGCTTTGACACCACCTTTGTGTCTCTTGTAACTAAAATAAATCTCTTGTCTGTGTTTTATTCCATCATCATACCTCTGAGCAGGAGATAGGTAGTCCTTGGCCAGGGCCTCAATACCCTTCCTCTTTTCTTCAAGTAGGGTGAGACTGCTGAATAGCTTTCTAATGCTCTTCTTTCTATTGGTGTAATAGCTCAAACTAGATCCTGGACTCCTTGTGCCAAAACCTAACTGCTCCAGGTTGCATCTCACTGGCCATTGAGTTCACAGGCTGCATTTTAAAGTAACATTTAGGTCATTTTTTAATTGTCAAGTTCCATAACTGTGGAGTCACTTTCGATGGTATATTTCTGTTTTCTGAGAGAACAGAAGGCAGACACTTTGCTGTGATGCTTGTTTGTTCTCTGTAATTATAATTTTCATTAAAATGCACATAGACTCCAGGACAATTTTGAACCCAGAGCATGATCTGCAGCAGAGCGATGTAAGTGTAGTGTGTGAATGAGACATACATTGATACTGCCAATCTCTAATCTGATACGAGCAGGACTCCTGGGCTTCCAACGGCTGGGAATTCACTGTATCTCAGCCTCACGTAAGAAAACAAGGCCATACCCCAGGAGAGCTTGACTTGAGAATGGAAGGTCACTGAGGTTTTCTATTCTCCTTCTAAATAGAACGCTCGTCTCTCCTCTGCTCTAACAGAGGACTGAGAGTACAAACTGCTGAGAAACCACGCAAACCATCTATTTTCAGAATCGGGTTATGACGTTTGTCCATGCTTTGGCAATTAGTAGTCCATAGGAAGATTGGTCAACCAAAAAGCCCCTAAGAATACTGAAGCTGTACTCCTCTCATTGCAACACAAGGCATGCTGAAATTACGTTTTTGCTTTTGTTTTTGTTTTTTTTAATCTTCAAGGGCTTTCTAAACTTGACTTTACCCTGACATCCATCCATTTTCTTTCTTTCTTTCTTTCTTTCTTTCTTTCTTTCTTTCTTTCTTTCTTTTCTTTCTTTCTCTTTTTCTCTTTCTTTCTTTCTTTCTTTCTTTCTTTCTTTCTTTCTTTCTTTCTTTCTTTCTTTCTTTCTTTCTCTTTCCTTCCTTTAAAATGGAATTTACTATGTAACCTTGAGAAAATTGCTTAACTTAGAGCCTTTGTATTTTTTTCAGTTTTCATTGGGAATAAAAATTGCACTCTCTCAAAAAGTTTGTTGAGAAGATCTGATGCAAAAAAGTTTATGAGAGGTCCATAGCATAGCCTCAAACTCAAAAGAACTTAATGATCAAATGACCAACAATTAGCAAAGATTTTTTAAAAATCCTTATCAATTAGTGGTCCTTCTTTGATCTTAGTGAGCTTTTTTTCCCCACTAGGACAAATTGCCTGACAAATACTATCTAAAAGGTAAGAGTTGTATTTTGGTTCACAGTCAGCTGGTTCCAAGGCAGATGCACCATGGTGCAGAGCTTGGCAGAGGAAAGCCACTCAGGTCAAGGCAGCTGGTAAGCACAAAAGGCGAGGAAGAGCCCAGAGACAGGAGGGAGGAGGGGTCCAGGGTTGAGAATGTCTTTTCTAGGCTGCCAAGGACCTGCTTTGTCCAACCAGGCCCTAACTCCTAACATCCTGCTCTGAACGTATCATTGGGTTTTTCCATTGATGAATTTGGTGTCTGCATTACCTAACCAACATCTGAAAGTTTAGCCTCTGAGCACATGAGCCGTTTGGGGGACCATTTGTGATCCAAACAATGGCAAACATGGTGAGGCTTGAGTTAACATGCAGGGTTATAGCACTGCTATCCAATGCAGTGTGGGGAAATTACTCTGTTCTTTGTGGATTACCATATTCAAATGATTACTTTCTTATTCTCCAGAGCCAGCATTGATTGGAACCAGATCTTTATCTTTGTGTGAACTTCAGAGATCCTGATCTAGAGGAAAGTGATCTGTTGGCAAATGGTCTGTTGTCATCTGCCATCTGCCAATGATCTTTGGGCCTTTCCAAAGATGGCAAATGGTCAGTGGTCTGTTGGCAAATGCTTAACAAATTGTTTTCCTGAAAACAACAAAGCCGTTGTTTGTGGTATTGGCTAATTTGCATGATGGAATGCTTCTCTATTAAAGATACAGCTGGGAGGAGCTGCACCCAGTCATCACACTTGGGATGGCTCAGGTGGACATCAACATCCTTTACTCCTTCTTATGGATTAAGAACTGGTGGTCAGCTTAATGCCAGCTGGATTACATCAGCACGGCACTGAGCATAGATGTTCCACCTGAGGAAAGTTTCCAGCCTAAATAAAGAAGTAGAGAAGGAGAAGCTATTACATTGAGGTGTTGAGGCATTGTGGGTTCTCCTACAAGTTTGCTGTTTGAGCCCTTGGTTCTCCAGGAGAAGCTCTGGTTCTCACATGGAGCATTGCTTCCTGGCTCCAGAGAGGAAGATGTATGCTGCTTGGTCTCTAAGATGAACTCATCATGTTGGCTTCCTGGCAGGTACTCTACTGTGCTTATCATTGGAGGAGCTCAGGGCTTCCATGTCGCTGAGGATAGGTGTGGTGCTTTTTAAGACAGACCTGGTCTTTGTTATGTGTGACTTCTTGACTCCAGGGTAGAACCCTCATCCCACCAGCACAGCTCCTTCATCCCACTGGCATGGACTTTCTGGCTTCCACCGCTGATCTTTGGGCCTTTCCAGCATGGATCCGTAAAAGAGACTGGCATGAGTCCTTCTTGTGGGCTCTTGACCTCCATTAGGACTCATGGGAGGCACTGTCATGATCTCTGAGTTTCATCTAGACTCATGTGAGATATTGCTGTGGGATTTAGGCCCTTGACTAAATATTCTATGTCTTTGGTGTTGTGGATAGATTTCCTGCAGTTTCTTGTGTTAACTCTGGGTGACCATCATAAAACAATATTATAAACCCCATGTCCTGATTTGTAATTGTTATCTTCCAACCCCTGACTACAACACTCCTTCATGTCCTCTTACCCAGGTCATGATCCCCACCTGTGATCCCCACCTGACCATGTAAGCATATGAATGACTATTTATTTGAGTCCTTCCTTATGTCAGCATAGTGGCAAGTATCTGTCTTCTCTCTGAAGGGACACAGCCAATTTTTGTGACTTTTTATCTATTGCACACTTAAACTTCAAAGAGCCAGATTCTCAGCCCTAGGCCTGGATTCACAGGTGATGCAATGTAGTGTTCGTTTTGACTTTGGAGAGAAGCAGCAGCTAGCTTCCAAAGTGGCCCTGGACGATCTCTGACTCTCACTGCTCACATCACTTGTTGCCTTCCCTCATATTTTGCTAATCACATAGAACACAGAAGGAGATATGCCATGTCATTTCCAAGATTGCATTATAAGGGTCACTGTGCTGTCTGTCTTGGTCATACCCTCTGTTTTGGGTTATTCATTCTGGAGCAAACTATCTTCAAGTCATGAGCAATCCTGTGGAGAGGGCCATGTAGCAGGGGTTTAAGCTTCCTTCCAGTGCCACATAGATGATTTTAGAAGCAGAACTAGACTGTGGTGAGGTAGGCAGATGACAGCCCAGTAACACACTGACTGCAGCCTCCTGAGATAGCCTGAGCTACAGCCACCCAGCCCAGCTTTCCCGAGTTCCTGACCCTTAGAGATGCTGTGAGAAATTAACTGTTTTTCAGTCTGCTAAATGGTAGAATAACTTTGTGGCCCTGAATCAAGGCTGGCAGCTTCCTGATGCTGTTGGTTTTAAGCAGGAGCCTACAGAGATATCTTTCTATGGTCTGTTGGCCATTTCAGAACTTGGGCAGTGAAATGGTCAATTCATTAGAAAGGAACAGCTTGAAGCAACCACTTCCCCCTGGTGAGTGGCTGTTAGTGTGGCAGGCTGTGGTGGCCCAGGACAGGAGCCACCGGCATTTACTGGAACCCACTCCAAGCTGGGACCTGAAACACCAGGAAACCAAGCAACCCTTCCCCCTTGCCTGTTTTGTTTTGTTGAGCTTCAATATACATGAAAGTGTGAATAGCTATTTTGAGGAGAACCGGAGACTCTATGACAGCCATTAGTGACTTCCCTATTGTCTGATTTTGAAGACCTAAAATGCCTTTCTCAATCAGTTCTGATCAGTTTTATACTATCTTGTTTTGTATGAATTCTTTGTATGCGACCACATAGACAACTATTTGGAAGACAACAAGAGACAATATGATAGACAGTGAAGATGTCAGGTCATCTAGCTTTGGAAGCAATCTCTTTAATCTGTGAGAGCCAGGAAGCAGAATATAAGATGAGTTTTAGGCAGAGCTAGATCCTCTAAAGGTTCCGTAACCTACCTCTTTTAACCATGTCCTACCTTCCAACAGCATATTTAAAATAAATTCATAAGTGAGTTAATCCACTGATCAGTATAGTAAAATTATGATCCAATCACACCCCAAACCTCACCTCTGAACATATGAGAATTTGGGGGAACACTTCATATCTAAACTATTTGAGCAACTTTGCTCTGCTGTATCCTACTCAACAAAATGTTTGGCCTCACTAGAGGCCCAAAAGGATGGACCAAGCAACCATGGACTGACACCTTTGAAACCATGAGACAGAGAAAAAGTTTCCTTTTTAAAAATTGTATATGTCAGGTATTTTGTCATAGTGATAGGAAACTCACATAATGCTGGTGGTGAACAGTTGGGGAACGAATCAAGAGATGCCAAGCAAAGATGCCTGTGTGATTTGCAAGGATGGAAAAGGCCCTTTATAAAGCAGGGGAGGACATTATTTCATGTCTCTGCTCCATAATCTCAGGATTAAGAACTACCATAGGACATGGTATTTGTCAATCATCAAGATGCTCTGGAAGACCACATAAACCCAACTTATTCTCAGTCCAATCCTATTCACTCTGGAATTTCTCAGCAAAGCAAGAAGACTAACGTGGGTGCAGAAGTGATGCCATGGGTTGGGTGTAATTTAATCCCTAGGCGTCCATGTATTGAAGGCCTGGTCCTTAGTGTGGTGGTGTGGGAGGTGGTTGAACCTTTGAGAAGCAGGGTGCAGTGAAAAGACCTTAGGTCAAGTGGGGCTGTGCCTTCAGAAGGGATTGATTGCCTGTGGGATCCCAGTTAGTTCTCAAAAGAGACTTGTCATAAAAGGCTGAGCCTGGACCTGTCCAGCTTTTCTCTAGCTTCTCATCTGTGATGTGACTGCTTGTTCCTACATGTGCTTTTGCCACTGTCATCTGTTATAATGTGACACAGCCAAGAATGTCCCCACCAAAACAAAGCCAAGACAGGTGCCAAGCCCTTGACTCTCCTGTAGTATGACAAGTAAATGTGTCATTTATTTATTTATCTATTTTTTTCTTCCTTTATTTACTTGGACAGGTTCTTTCCATGTAGTTCAGGCCTGCCTTTGAACTCACCATGTAGCCCAGGATGTCCTTGAATTTGTGGTGATCCTCTTGCCTCAGACTCCATAGTGCTGGGATTATTGATGTGCACCATCACACCCAACTCATGTCTCTTCTTTATAAAGTTATCCTGCCTGAGGTATTTTGTTACAGTTATGAAAAACATTAATACAGAACACTACTTACCCATCAAACCCTATGTTACAAAGAGATTATAATTTAATTAGGGATATTAAGTTATACCCAAAAAGGAATTATAGGATATGCTATTCGAGTGGTGTTAAGAGGAAATACTGTGTGAAAATGTGACTTCTAGTAAACTTGGGAACTATGTTGATGAATGATAGTGGTGAATTGGTTGTTTTTTATAGGATATCTCAGAGATTTTAACCTGCTACCCTGAACTGTGTTTCCCTAAACGAGAGATTAGACACATTTTCAAAGTTAGACTAATGTAACTGGTAGGTGATGCTTCTATGTATGTTAGGTTCTGAGAGTAACAACACCAGGGGTCTACTGCTTAACACTTCCAAAGTGCACACACAGATCTGTGTACTCACCTGCATGAGTATACTTGGAAAAGGCACTAAAGGTTAAAGGCATAAGGACAGGATTAGTGGTGGTGGTGGTGGGGTAGGCAAGGGTATGTTTGCATGGCAGAAATTTTAGGAAAGCACCACTCAGTGGAAGTGAAGGATCTTTGTTTTTGCTTCTTATTCACTGGGTGGCCTTCCAAGGTCACTCAACATATCAGTTCTATTTCTCCTTATGCCAGCAGAAATTTAAAAAGAGAAGTTAACTGGTTCTGCTCCTCTGTACACAGAGCAGAAATTTAAAATGTGTCTATATCTTAAAGTTTTCTTATAAAACATCACAAGTATTGGACAAGTCTGTGCAATCAAAGTGTTTTCCATTCTGTGGTTGAATACATAGCCTTATGACAGGGTATGATCCTGACCACCAGCGAGATTGTGGGGAGAGGGGTTTATGGGAGGTAGAGACAGTCTGTCCCCCAGGATTGCGGGCAGCTAACATCCTGGGTCAGGATGAATCATGCCCTCTGCATAATAGCGTTGTGACCCAGGGCTGTAGTGGCTCAAACTCCCTAAAGAAAACCTTGAAGATTTGAAAAGAAAGCAAACATAGAATATCGAGTAAGTGGCCTTTCTTTTGAAGCAGACATAAGCAAGACAAAATGGACAGCTTCAACACGACATCCTCCTTTCCTCCTGGCTAGGGGTTTTCCTATTCATTGGGGGGTAAGTGGAGCTACTCAATATATGTTTAAAGCAAGTTACTCATTACCAAAGAGATGAGACCGAAGAACATATCCAAAAAGGGACTTTTCCTGTTGATCATGCTGGCAAGCTTGTGCACAGTGGCCTTGCTAACAGAATCAGCTGTCTAAATTTTATGTTGCCTCTCTCCCACTGCTGAGTCACTGGGTTCCCTTGAACTGCGAAGGAATGAGGTGAGGCCTGTCCTGCAAACAGGAAGCCAGGATTCGAGTAGAGTAAGAACGCCACCTTGCTTTAAGTATGAGCACTGCAAATAATTGCTTGAACGATGGAGCATTTGAGAGAAACCGCAGAGAGATCAGGCCAGAGATGCATCCATGACATTCTGCATTACTTTTAATGAACTGTAGTAATTACTTAGGGCTCTCCAGAGAATCAGGACCAATAGCATATGTATGCATATTGTTAAGAGGTTTTCAGGAATTATCTCATGCGGGTGCCAGCCAGCTTGACTTTATTTTTTTAGATTTTTAAAAAAATTTTATATAGGGAGGAAAAAAAAATACCAGAAAAAGGGTACAAGTTATACACAACTTCAAAAAAAAAAAATAAACAGTAGGAAATCACTAGTTAATAGATTACATATTGTCATTTTAGAAATAGTTGTTCAAGTTACAAAATTAAAGCATATAAAGTGGACATTCAAACAGTGAAACTGCAAATAGTTCTGGTCAATGATCCAACAAAATGTAATATGGTTATCTATCTTATACACTTAAATATACATGCAGTATATGGTTATCTATCTTATACACTTAAATATACATGCAGTTATATCCTTTAGAGCACTT